GAGGTGGAGGGGGTGGACCCAGATCCCCAGCGTGGGTGGGAATCCCCAGGCCAACACTATGAGATGGCTAAACACCTGATGACACATTTCTAAGGATTACTGGGCAGCTCTTACAGAATTAAAGTAGATCTGTGTGTGCTGATGTGGAAAGATCTCTCCAATACAGTAATAAGAAAAAAGTAAGGGACAGAGCAAATGCATAGACTCAGAGCTCTGAACAGCCTCCCTGGAGCCTTAGTGCAGGTTAAAGGTGTTCACAGTTCCAGGGGCAAACATGCCTTCATTTCCCCCTCAGCAGGCATTAGAGCAGAGTTTATATACATAAAGTTTATATGCACGTTAGAGCAAGTATACACAGATAACACAATTATATACCGAGAACCCAAACCACCTACATCCGCACAGCTCTCTGCCTTCATTAACGACTTGACTATCCCACTGTCACACCGGCACAGACATTCGCCAGGCAAATAAACTGTCTTGTTCACTTCTGGACCTTCCCATGAGAACCATCAACTCTTCCAACAGAAAGCACCCACAGATGCCTCTGGAGAAACTTAGGACTTTTGAATCCCTCACCTGAAAATCTGTGCCTTGCTGCTATAGCCAGCCCTGAACTGTTATATCAGGATCCTCAACTGATCAGAACCAACCAGGCCTTAGCAGTGACAGACCCATGAACCAAACCCTCAGATTCTCCATCTGCTGGCGCTGGCCTTGTCCCACTGAGCAGCGGTGAGGCCTGTCTACACGCTGTCTCAGCAACAGGCTGTGCTGGGGATGTCTGGGGAGCCAGCATGCAGCAACAGATTCTTGCTGAAATAGGCACGAGAGTGTATCTGGATGGAATTACAATGAGCGTTAAGAGTGCTTCCCTTTGGGAGAAAGACTTCAGGGAGAGCTTTTCACTTTTCATTGGATGTATTTTTACATTATTTGAATGCTCTGACTCTGCACGTATATTTCTATTATTACTATTATTTTAAATGCCAATAGAGATTATCTGATAGTGAGATTATGGGCTCTTTTAAAGATACTTTTGGTATTAAAAGTTTTTATGAAAAACAAAAGGCTGTGGTCAGTAATATCAGCTATCTCAGAAAGGTAAGGACCTAAGAGTCACTAGCTTTTTATTTTAGCTTGGAAAACTTAAACATACAGAAAAGCATAAAAATCGTAAGGGAACAGTCTGATGATTTATCATGAGCTGAACACATTCATGTAACCACTACCCAGGTCCAGAAGCAGAACATCACTAGTACCCTGAAGACCCCTGGGGCCCCGTCCAGGCAGAATCCCTCCCTCCGTCCCTCCCTCCCCGCTTAGTAAGCACTACCTAGACTTTTACCATCACAGTGTTGAAATCATTAAGTATGTATTCATTTTCCATTAGATTCTTTTGCAAAACATTAAGACTGTAAGAAGCAGCCACACTGTCACAAGTACCAGTGAGTTCATTTTCATTCCTGTATAGTATCCCATAGTATAAACATACCAGTTTTCTTGTCCATGCTGCTGCTGATGCGTATTTGGGAAGTGTCCTGTTTGGGCTGTTAGGAGTATTGGTGGTATGGCCATTCACGTGCATGCCTTTTGCATAGGTATCTAGGAGTGAAGCTGCAGGGCTATAATATGTGTATATATCCAATTTTAGGAAATGATGACAAACCATTTTTCAAAGTGCCTATAACCACACTTCTTCAGCAGTGTGTGACTTTCGATTGTTCCACGTGACAGCCATTTGGTACTATTAGTCTTTCTAATGTTCGAGCAACTTTTCATATGTTTATTGGACACTGAGATATGGTGTTTTCTATAGTGTCTAAATGCCTTGCTCATTTTTTAAAATTGGGTTGTTGTGGGTTTTTTTTGCTACACATTCTGGATATGAACCCTCTGCCAGTTACAAGTGTTGCACATATTTTCTCCCACTCTATGACTTGTCTTTTCACTCCCTAACTGATATCTGTTGAGCAATGCAAGTCCTTTATTATCATTTAATCTGATTCATTAATATTTTCCTTTTGGATACTGCCCTAAATTTTGTTTTGTTTAAGAACTCTTTGCCTATCTCAAGGTCATGCAGATGTCCTCTTTGTTTCCCCCTGGAAGCTTTATATTTTACCTTCCATATTTAGATGTACAAAATAACAACAACAACAAAAAAAACCCACACTGGAATTTTTTGTGTATGGTATAAAGTAGGGGTCAAGTTTAATTTTTATCCTTAAAGATATTCAATTATCCATATGTGCCTGAGGTTTGTTTCTGGACTCTACGATTTTAGTGTTCTATTTGTCTAGCTTTATGTCAGTTTCACAGTGCTTTGCTGCCTCTTTATAAATCAGTCTGATATTTAGTAGAGTAACTTCTCCCATTTTGTTCTTTTAAAGATTGTCTTGGCCAGTCTTGTTCCTTGGCATTTCGTATAAATTTATACACACACACGTAGCCAATGGGTGGGGGATTTTTGCATTTATATTTGTAATAACAATTTTCATTTCTTCCCTTTGAGCCTTGTAATTTTTATTTCTTGAAATATTACACTGGCTAATTTGAAAGATACAATGTTGAGTATACTCAGGACAATGGCATCCTTGCAGATAAAGGACATCCCTGTCTCAGTGACAATCCTGGGGGAAAGCTTTCAGCAGTTCTCCATCACAGCTGTCCATGGCGCTAGCTTTAATGCTTTTTGAAAATGCTATTTATCAGATTGAGAAAGTTCCTTCCTAGTTTTCCGTAAGATTATGTCTTTGTTTGTTTGTTTTTAATGAGCCAATGTTCAATTTTATCTAAGGGGTTTGAAGATAGGACTTTTTCTTTTATTCTTTTTAAATAGTGAGTAACATTGATTTTCAAATAGTAAATCAAACACGAGTTCCTGCAATAAGCCCAACAGTGCACCCTGCGCTACCTTCTTTACCTATTGCTGGATTCCGGTTGCTTTGGTTTAGGGGTCTTGTGCCTATGCTCGAGAATGACTGATTGTTCTTTGTTTCCTCCTAATATCCTTGGCAGATTTTAGTGTCAAGACTGTGCTAGTCTTGTAAAACAAGTGTGGACGTGTTCCTTCTTTTTGTCTCTGGAGAAGTTTGCATAATACTGGTGTTAATTCTTTCTTAAATATTGGAAGAATTCCCACCTGGGCCTAAAGATATTTTTGAGGGAATGCAAATTTTATAATTCCAGATTTATTTCTGTCTTATATAGAAGACTATTTAGGTAGCTACTTCTTCTTGTGCCCATTCTGTCAAGCTGTATTTTTCTAGGAACTTATACATTTTATTTAAACCTTCAAATATATTGATATAAAGTTGCCCATAATGTTCTCTTATTATCAGTCCAATGTTTGCTTTATCTATAGGGACAGATTTATTTTGGATTGAATATCCTTTATCATGGCACGTCCACACCTATCAGCGTAGGAAACTGCTAGTAGGAACAAAGCAGGTGGGGCTCCCAGAACCCTCACTGATCTTCAGAACCACCCAGACTCGGCTGAAACGCAGGTTTCTGTTTCTCACCCCAGAAGCACGGAATCGAAATGTGCAGCAGGCAACAGGCAAGGTGTGTTTAAGTTCCACAGGCAATCCTGATGAACAACAGCCAGTTGAACCATCATTCCGGACCCTATTTCCTCCACTACCTTTGAAAGGTAGGTAAGAAAAGGTGGCTGAGAAAACACCTCTAGGATCAGTGTTCTTTCTTAGTACCTCAACAGTGCCTTGTGCCACAGGCCCCTGATGCTGTGACCTAGGCTACATTCTAGCCCACAGGTGTCTGTCTGTCTACACTATGCAGAGCCAAGAGGCTCACCCCAGTCAAGACCAACCCGCTATCTCTTGGTGTCTGGTACTCCAAGGCCAGCAGCCCTAATGTCCTTACTCGGCTCTGTACCCTCTGCTTCCTGGCAGGGCGTTTCTAGAGGATGGGCAGATGGTTTGCACAACTAGGTGAGATCAGTGATGACCTCTAAGAAGCGGGGCAAGGTGTGTGCCGAATCTACTCAGTCCCATGTATGCTGGATCCTGTCTTTATTTCACTACAAGTCATTACCATTAAAACAATATAGGTGGCACAGTGAACTACATTTCTTTAAAGTCATCTGGCATAGTATGAGCCCTTGTTTCCTATAGATAGAGAGGTTACTTTAAAACCAACCATGAAAGCCCTAAAGTATGTTACAAACATGCCTATCTACCTATTGAGAGGCAGGTTAGTGCTTCTAGCTGTATTAGAGATGGTTGAAACTGGCATATCAATTTCACCTTCAACATTCAAATAAGAAAAAAAGAACTGGAGGGTAGAGAAGCAAATACACAAATTTTTACCTTAAGCAAGAAGATATTTGGTACAGAGACAAGACCAAAATAAATCAAAGAAAAAATACTCTGCTATTTTTCTACCTAAAAACATTAAAAAACAATATCTTAGTGTGCTCTCCTTCCACCAAAACAATAATAACTCAGCAACTATGCCCTTAAGTGAGTGGAGGCACTTTATATTATAATATAACATTATATCTATAATGCACTGTACTCATAAAAGCAAATGTTATTATGTAGAGAAAACGTGACACATACTTTTCTGTTGTTCTAGTGATTCCTCAAAAGGAGATCGGTTGGGGGAAGAATTCTAAAGGGTTTTGGTTTAACCTGGAGGTTTTAAAAACATCTTTTTAGTAATAAACAAAAAATTCAGATACCTTTACTGCGCACAGTGCCGTCCTGCCCCAGGGGCCACAGCCCGTGTCGGTGGAGCCTATGTGGACGCTTTACTGATGCCCATAGTCCTAGCTGTCCCTTGGCTTTAAATACGGGCCCTGAGTGAAACAAGACGAAGGTGTACAGTGTGACCAAAAAATATGAGAAACTGGGGTGGGGGTAGGGGTGCATATGCTGCTCAGGCTCTTCTTCTGCCAGCTCTGTCTCTCCTTAGTCAGTGGAAACCTAAGAAGTCCCCCAGGCCTCCCAGCATGCTGGGCTCAGGAGGTGTGCCCCCTGTGGGGACAAGAGCAGCTACTGAGCCCCTAGGCCCTCTCTATCCTTCCAGAGACGCAGGTGGCCCCAGGAGCTGTCACTGACTCTAGCACCTGTCCTTGGACAGTTTCAGGGGTATTTTTCAGCCTTTCTTTGGTTCTCTTTTACTATTTTGCAGTCTGAGTGGGTTGGAAAGCAGAGATGAATTGTGTAGCATCCTCCTGCTGTTTCCTAGATTTCCTTTTGGCCAGGAGCTCATGTGCATGTCATATATTCCCAGAGACTCAGGCTTCCTGGGTGATCATGGCTCAGTGACCAACCTGACCTGTCTGACTCCCCCACAGGCCCCACGTGGGACCTATGACCTGCTGGGTAGCTCTGCTGGCCAGAAGGAAGGGCTCAGGGCAGCAGCAGGAAAGCTTTCCTTTTAGAGAAGAAAAGAATGAGAGATCAGCAAAAAACAAAAAGAAATAGGGCCCAAACCCCTTGTCCCTTTGGCCATTGGGCCTGAGGGAGGAGAATTCCCAGGGAATTTGAGGATTACCCCTGGGAGCTAACAAATAAAGAGCTTCCAAGTAAAACAGAAACAGCGTTCTGGGTATTTGCATTTCCAGGTATCTCCAGACACATTTAATGGGGATTTTTCTAAGACAGTGTCTTTCCTTCAGGCCCATTCACTGCCAGGCTTAGCCAGTTTCTCTCCCCCAAACAGAGCTGGAATCTTGTGAAAAGTGGGTCAGGTAACAATGGCATCAGAGTTGACAGTAAGCACTTTTGCTTCCATTATGTCACTGGAGCCTTACTCCAGCCCTGTGAGGTAGGTGGGCCAGGTGTTTTTCCCAATGGAAAGATGAGGCACCAAGGCTTGGAAGGTTTAAAAAAGGCCCATGGCAGAAAGTGGCCCCTGCGCCTGGGAAGCCAGGTCTCCTGGTTTGGTCTTTGTGCCCCTATTCCCTTGCTACCTCTAAGTCATTTTTGAGAAATGAGCTGTAATCTGTGGCCAAACACATCTAGAGAAAGTGGGTTAACTTAGCACTTCTTGCTCTCTCTGAGGATGGGCAAGGCAGGGAGCAAAACGGCCTACAACGAAGTGAGCTCCTGAAAACGCCACCGTCTCCAATGAATGAACACAATCAGAACCGAAACGGTTCTCTGGAGAAATCTTTGAAATCTTTGACCAGTCTGAGTCCTAACTGCAGTAAACCCATGGGTATGCTTATATTTAACATTTTAACACAATCCAACAACATGTTGTTAAATACATCTTAAGGGGGAGTTAGAAAGAGGGAAGGTAGAATCTGGGGTCCCTGTGAGTCCTGTGGGCCACGGTGACGGGGGCAGCGCCTCTGGCTTCCAGCAGCCCTTGTCACACACGGTCCCCAGGACCTAGGTGGGCTTCAAGCTAGCGGCCATGCTGACCGTTGGGGATGAGGCTCCTGTGGGCCCCGAGGCCGTTCTTCACGCAGTCCTTCTCTTTGCCTTCGGTGGCCTTGTCCTTCCCCTCGTCTTCTTCCTCTTCTTCGTACTCATCCTCGTCATCGCTCCGCACATCCTGGATGTTCTAGACAAAGGGAAGAAGGGCATGAGCGACAGCTGTCCAGCAAGTCTGCACCGAATGGCAAACAAGCAGGCCAGCTTAGGGCTATGGCCCCCTCAAATTCTGTTGAAAGAAATCAAAGATCTAAAGAATTGGAGAGACATACTGTGTTCATTAATAGGAAAATTTAACATAGTAAAAATGCTAATTATCCCCAAATTGACCTATAGATGCCACATAATACCAACTAAAATCCCAGCAAGATTTCTTATAGATACAGACAAGCTGATTCTAAAATTTATAAGGAGACTCCAAGGAACTAGAATATAGAATTGCTTTATAATTGAAGACTCAAACGACCCAATTTTAAGACTTTCTATAAGTTTACAGTAATCAAGGCTGAATGGTATTAAGCAAAGGGATAAACACATAGATCAATGGAACAGAAGAGAGAATCTAGCAATAGACCCATACAAATAAGGCCAATTGAGTTTTGACAAAGGTGCAAAAGCAACTCAATGGAGGAAGAATAGTCTTTTCAACAATGGTTGGAAAAATCAGAAATCCATAGGCAAAAAATTAAACTTTGATCTGAACATCATTACAAAAGCAAACTCAAAGTGAATCACAGATCTAAATGTAAAATAAAAAAGTATAAAACTTTTAGAAGAAAACCCATGACCTGGGGTTGGATGATGAGTTCTCAGACATGGCACAAAAAGCCTCGTCCATTAAAAAAACAACTTATAAGCTTAACTTCATCAAAATTGAATACTTTTGTATTATGTAGAGAATAAAAAGATATGCTGCAAACTGGGAAATAATATTTGCAAATCCCATATCTAACTTGTATGCATAATAAAGAATTCTCAAAACTCAACAATAAGAAAAAAAACAAACCAATTTTAAAATGAGCAAAAGATATAAAAATAGACACTTCTTCAAAGAGGATACAGGATGTCAAATAAGCATATGCATAGATGTTCAACATCATTAGCCATTAGGAAAAGGCAAATTAAAACCATTATGTGATACGACTACAAACCCATTAGAATAGCTAAAATTAAAAACACTGGCAATACCAAATGCTGACAAGGATGCAGAGTGGCTGAAAGGAACACTTACACATTGCTGATGAAAATGCGAAATGATACAGAGACTCTGGGAAACAATTTGGCAGTTACTTATGAAGTTAAATATATGGCTAGTGTATGTCTCAGCAGTCTTACCCCTGAGAATCTACCCTAGAGAAATGAACGTCATGTTCTAACAAAAACAAATGTTTGTAACAGCTCTATTCATAATTGCCCCAAACTGGAAGCAACCCAAATGTTCTTCAACCACTAAATGGATAAACTGTGGTCCATCCATACAATGAAATACTGTTTACCAATTAAAAGGAACAAACTTGGACATTTATAAGAAGTTGCATGGATCTCAAATGCCACATGAAAAAAATTAGTTTCAAAAGGTTACCTGCTATATAGCATAATAATGTTCTTTACACGACATTCTTGAAAAGACAAAACTAAAGGGATGGAGAGCAGATGAGTAGCTGTCAGGAACTGGGGTGGAGGAAGCAATTATTTGGGATGATGGAATTGTTCTGTATTCTGATTACGGGGATGACTATACAAATCTATTCCTGTGTTAAAATTCATAGAATTGTACAGCAACAACAACAAAAATCTGTTTTACTGATAAGTTTTAAAATAAAACTTAAAAGTACTTCTTTTTAGAAAGCAAACAATATGGTTTTTCCAATAAACATTTGCTAAGTAAAGTGTTACTCATGCGGGCATTTTGATTGTCAGATTTTTGTTGTTGGAAATTAGGGTGTTTTCTATTTTCTTTATGCTGGGACTCCCTCAAGGACAGTTCTTAATTAAGGGATTCATGTTTCTCTCTTCTCTTGTGGTGTCCTCAAAGCTGTGAGGAAAACTCCTAGAAGTATAACATTGCCCCTGAGGAAGGGAGATGGAATTGCCACAGATCAGACTTCATTGCAAAAGATAGAAGATGGTATGAGTTATTAAAACAATACTGAGAACTCACGCTCTGGGCGAGGACAGTGTCAGACACAGCCCCTCACCCTCTAAGCCAGCTCACCAACATCTCTATTGGACCCAGACTGGAAAAGAAAAAACACGGACAATGGAGGCTGTCTCCTCACACATCATTTTTCAAGATGACGTCCATAACCATATGAGTTACTTTTTCCTTGTGTGACCTGCAGACTAAAACTGACCACCTGCAGAGAATCTCAGGGTACATGTAACCAAATACCTCCCTGTGTGTACGGTCTGCCTGCAAACGTGACTTTTGAAAAGGACCAAAGTCCATCCACGCGTTCTGCTGGCTTACCCACAGAGATTAACTTCACAGGCTCTTCTCTGTCCATCTACTCTTTTCCACAAAACACAGAAAGGGGCTCAGAGTACACAGGCTCACTATAAACACTGAGGAATAAACCTGGCGTCTCATCAGTTAAGATGCAGCAGAGAAGGGCACCTTCTCTGTGACATGCTGGGAGCCGGGGATCACAGAGCTCCCCCGCAGAGGGAGCCCTTCAGGAAAGGGCCATGCTTGGCTGATATTTGCTTTCACGCACCGTGCCCCTTGGGCCTTCTTTTCCTTTCTCAAAAAATGTTTGTAGGAAACAAGAGTAAATTTGAATCAGAACCAAGAAACTGGTTTCTCTCCAGAAAAGCAGACGAGCCTCTCCCGCCATCTGTGCAGATTCACAGAGCTGCTCTAGCTGAGAGGTAAGCTGGTACTCAAGGGTGCTCCCCACCGCTGAGCCACATCCTCCAGCACCCTTGTTTCCATGAAGAGGTCCTGGACCATATGACCCTTTGGGAAAACTGTGGATCTCGAGTCACAAAGGTTGGGGAGCACTACTGACTTCTAGGGAACAGTGGCTGGGATGCCGGCCACCCCCCAGTGTGCATGGCGTCCAGATGGACTGCCAGGCCGGCGTGCAGGTGAGACCCTGGTTATAATTATCCAAGCCCAAAACCCAATTCTACTTTACATTCAAGCGCAGCAATTCTTGCATGGCTTTAATATATTCTCAATTTTCCAGGAATGCAACTATGTACATAAATCAAAGGAGGACTCTACGGTTTTTTGGTTCAGAACTCCACAGCTTCAGAAAACCAAGCCACCGACGGCAAGACTACCAGCGATGTCTGAGCCCCCAGCGCCGCGCGCCTGTGTCGGCTGTGCGTGCAGCTGCCCCACTCACGGTCAGTCTACGTAGAAGCAAACGGCATCTGTTGACTTCAGTATATTGAGTGGAGTCATGCACACATGTTACACATGAAATGCATATTTATCAGAAATGTCTTTCATCTCATTTCTTTTTCATTAGAGTTGTGGCATTATATTGCTTTTGGAAATTATGGTTATAGGTGAGTCATATTACCTAGGAATTTCATTTCAGGCTAGTGCAGGGGGTGTGGGTCCAACAGGAGGAAAAGCCCCTCCCGACATGATGAACCAAGTTCAGGAAGGACTTCCTGGTACTGAGAGTTTGTGTGATGGATGTGTTGGTGGCTGCACATTGTGCAAGCCTGAATAATGTAAACTGGAAATTGTGTGGCATTCAAATTAACAAACCCCCATGTTATATTCAATTTTACCATGTAAATGCCATCTGTAATATAACAGGAACAGCTACGAAACCCTGAAAAGGATTTTTTTCACTGCCCTAAAAATCCTCAGTGCTCCCTCCCAATGCCTGGCAATCACTGACTTTTTTACTGTAGTTTTGTCTTTTCCAGAATGTCATATAGTTGGAATCAAATAGTGTTGAGCCTTTCCAGATTGTCTTCTTTTACTCAGTAATATACATTTAAGTTTCCCCATGTCTTTTCATGGCTTATTGGCTAACTTCTTTTTAGTAAAAAAGAATATTCCATTGCCTGGATGGACCACAACTTGTGTATCCATCACCTACTGGAGGACATCTTGGCTGCTTCCAAGGTTGGGCAATTAAGAATAAAGCTGCTATAAATGTCTGTGTGCTGGGCCCAGGACTAAGCAGTTAGTGTGAATAGTAACATCTCCTTCTCACAGCAACCCTAGGACATAGGAACCATTCTCTTTATTTTAAAAGAGTGAAAACTGAGGCTCAGGGGGGCTAAGTAACTATTACAAGGCCACACAGCTATGAGAGGCAGACAGTATGAAAACCTTGATCTAAGCTCAGACTCCCTGAACCACAGTTCTCTGCAGACCCCACGGAGCCATCTGCATGAATACCTGCAGAGAGGGCACCAGGAGGCAGACATCCAGTTCTGTGTGAGGGCAGTTCTCAGTACAAGAAAGCTCCCTCTCCTCTCCTCCCACTGAGCTGAGCAGCAGCTGTCTCATCATGACCTGTCTCACCCTGTTCTGACTTTGCCCTTGCTACCATTAGGACAGACTTTTAAGTACAACATTTGAAATAATAAAAATCAACCCTAATCAGATGTGCCAACTGACTTTTTCTATGTGACACAAACACTGAAATGTTTTATTCTATTCCATTTCATTTAAAAAATTATTATTGAGATCTATACACTGGTTCCCAATTTTGGGGAATGATCTGTGTACACAGAATGCCTCCTCTTGAATTTCAAAAGTGGCTTTCTAAACTGTTCTGATTCACCAGTGTAAACAGGATATGTTCTATTTTCCATTGACAGGTTTTGTGTTTGTTGTGTGTTTTTTTCATTACACTTGCTGCTATCAATGTATCTATTTTTCTTAAGGAATGATCTCATTTGGCTAAGGCTTAAGGGCTTTCCACAATGATCTTCTAAGAGAAAAAGTGAGTTTTAGGGCCAGCTAGATTCTAGAGAGCATCTGGTAGGACATGCTTATTTCCCAGATGACATTAAAGCTACAGGATGGACCCCACTGGCTGAGTGACACGGCTTAGTGGCAGCAGAGCTCAGAGCTAAAAAAAAAAAAAAAAAAAAGCATGGATTTCTTTCATATTCTCTGTATCACCTCAAAATAAGTTAGAAGTGCACCAG